CGACTTGCTGGGCTCCAGCGATCCTTCCGCCTCAGCCTTCCAAGTAGCCAGAACTACAGGTGCGCGCTACCACACCTGGTTAATTTTTTTGATCTATTGTAGAGATGAGGTCTCACCAAGTTGCTCAGGCGGGTCTTGAACCCGCAGGCTCAGACAATTCACTCACCTCAGCCTCCCAAAGCTCAGGATTACAGGCTGAGCCACCGAACCCGGCTGACTAATTTTTTGATTTATTCTAGAGATGAGGTCTCACCAAGTTGCCCAGGCTGTTCTCGAACCCATGGCCTCAGGCAGTCACCTCACCTCGACCTCCCAAAGTGCTGGGATGACAGGCTTGAGCCACTGTGCCCGGCTGAGTATGATTATTTAAGTGTCAAAAGTGAAGTTATAAATTAAAGTGCCAGTTACCTTCAGCAGTATAATCAATGTCAGTACGTTTCATTTTAGCTATCATTCCCAATGGCAATCAGTTTAACTGCCGTTTCTGGTAGACCAGCGGGTCTCCCTTCTATCCAGTGAGTCTGTACCAGGGATTCAGGGACCTGGCCTGGGCCCTTCAGGTCCCCCCACCCTGCGGGGGGCAGGCAGTCATGGAGGATGGAAAAGGGGTCTGCCCTTTGCCGCCACTGCTAGGATTCTATCTAGTGGAACTCTCCTTTCTCAGGAAAGCAGGTCACTGCTTGGTCTATTCTCTAGTTTTCATTTTATTCATTCGATTCATTCATTTGACAAATACTCACTGAGCCCCTGCGATGTGACAGGGACTGTTCTAGGTGGTGGCATGTATCAGCGAACAAGAGGGCCACATTTCCTGCCGGTGGAAGCTGGTATTTGGTGGCAAAAGACAGATACAGCAAACCAGGAGACGATCTGGTGTAGATGCTGAGGAAGGGGCTGTGGGGGTTACGGGAAGACGGGGACAGGAAGGGAAATCGGGAAGTGCCGGGGGCTCCAGTTCCGATGGGGTGCTCACGGAAGGCAGCTGAGCAGGACTCCACCCAGGCGAGGGCAGGGTCAGGCCACGCCTGGGGGAGGACCTGTCTCGGGACCGTCAGCACTCGCCTTGCTAGCTTTCAGCTTGCCAGTTTCCTCTCTTCTGGTGATCCGGCAATGGCGGAGAGCGGGGCATAATTTAGAAGTTCTGATGGATTTACAAATGTTGAATGTCTAGAACATCCTGTTTTTTGACCTCTCTTCTTTCCCTTCAGCCCACTTAGACTTTCTTTATCTATGTACAGTTCCTGACAGGTTCCCTGGAAAGGAACAGAGCTGAGGACGGTGGTTATCAGGGCTCTCCCTGGTGGGTGGAGATGGAGCCAGAGGGCCGAAGGTCAACTGAGAGAGAGAGAGAGAGAGAGAGAGAGAGAGAGAGAGAGAGAGAGAGATCTCATTTCAGCCTTGGCCCCCATGAAAGTCCTGCTTGTTGCAAAGTCTGGCACATGAAGACAGCTCTCGGGATGCATTCAATGCCAGGGACAACAGAGAAAAAGGCCTCGAAAAACAAAACAGCAGCATAAATCGTTGAATAAAAAATTTAAAAAACCTTGTTCTGCTCCCTTCATTTTATATATTTTAACGTTAAATGGGCACCATTGTTAATACCATAATAAAATCATAAAATAACTGCTCCAGCATAATTTTAAAATCTGGATACTGGAAGGGAAGGTTATAAAACTTGTTTTCCTTATATGAACTCCAGTTTCAGAAAGGACCCTTCTATTGTGTGACTGGTGTCAAGGGACACCAGGTTTCTCTACCTGCAGGGTCAGGTTCTATTGTGAAAGTGCCTTGAACAACAGAAAGTGCTTTGAACACACACAAAGCGCCACTATTTTTCTCCTGGTGCATTGCCTGCTGCGTCTGTAAGTATGATCGAGTATTTAATTAAGCACCGGACTGATGTGTATTTAGCCATAGGAAAGCCGGACACCTGCAGCTCTAAGAAAACTTCACTTTGTCCTTTGTGAGTGGACAGTGACCCAGCCTCTCTGTGCCCACTCCCCCGCTGAAATGAGGAGTCCACACTGGGATTTCCCTGCTTTTTAGGGTTACAGTGAGGATTGCAGGGGATAATTCATGCAAATCACTAAGAGCAGCGGCTGGCACACAAAAAAGCACTGAACACATGTTATTAAACAATTGTTATTAAATTCACAACAATCCCTACGGGGAGGGGGGGCACGTCAGACTCCTTCCACTGACTTGCGTGTAGAGACATCTCTGGTGGACTCTTGTAAATTTTTGATGCAACTGTCAAAACTAACTCCAGCGATTCGAAACCCCCATTCTCCACTGTGTCTTGTGTCAGGGAGTTAGTGGATTCCCCCCCCCCCAATTCAACATTTTTTAAATTTGATGGTTCAATGCTGACAATTCTCAAATGTAAGATTTAATAATAAAATCGTTAACAGGTCATGAGTTCATCGTAGAAAAATACTGTAGTGATTATTCTGTTTCAAAACTCTTGAAGCTCTCTCAGTAAAAAGTTTAGGACTACTGTTCCTAAGAACATGGCTATTTGCACCTTGTGAAGCTTGCACAAACAACATAACTTACGTATCCAAGTGAACACGTTGCATGTTCACTCAACATGGCATCTGAAATTAATTTAGTTCACTATATTGTAGCAAGAAACCCTCTTCTGAATATATATGCTTAGTAATAATAAATATTTAGTAAAGCCAGCTTTGAGAAGTCACATCCATGGCATCATGCCTCTTTAGTGGGTCTGTTCTTCCTTTTATTTTGAGTCAGAGTCTCACCCTGTGGCTCAAGCTGGAGTGCAGTGGCTCGCTCACAGCCACCCTGCGTCGACCTGCTGGGCTCAGGCCATTCTTCCGCCTCAGCTTTACAAGCAGCTGGAACTACAGAAGCAAGTCATCTAGCCGGAGCTTTATCGTAGTGATGCGGGCTCACCAAGCTGCCAGGCTGGTCTCGAACCCCGGGCTCAGGCAATCCCCTCGCCTCGGCTTCCCAAAGTGGTGGGATGACAGGCTTGAGCCCCCGCGCCCACCCGATTTAGGGGATCTCAATCCCTCGCTGTTTCTCCCTGGAGGAAAAACGTCCGCAGTGCTGCACGTCCCAAGCTTACCAGGTGCTCAGGGTCTGAGGAAGGTGCTGTCGTCAGGCCCTAAGCCAAGAACGCCTTCGAGGGCGCTCAGCTGGGGAGGGGTGGGGCGGGCGCCGCGCTGGGTGTGCCAAGAAGGCGCCCCCGGCCGGGGCAGCGGAT